CCTTCGATTTATATGTTGTAAATACCAATAACCTTAGCGGAGGAAAGACCGGGAAAAGAGCTATTAATTATGGGACAATGGTTTGGCGAGGGGCCACTGAGTGCAATCTATGAATTAGGAGCTGGCCAGCGGTTCTATTTGCATAATACTGGGGGACTAAATTGCGATTGCAGCGATCTCTTGAGAAACAGTTGTGGGGCAAAGCTAATGCATCTAAGTCAAAGGAAGCTAGGAACACATTCATAATAAATTATCCCTCATCCATGCAATCACTTGAAGAAATGATTACTCTCTTCTCTCTCATTAGTGTTTCCTCTCTATTTCCCTCATCTTTGTTCTCTTTTTTTTCCTTCTTTACTTCTTTCTCTCCTTGTCCTTATTCACATCTGTATGTGACTCACAGGCACAAATGCATACAATTATCCAAGCGCACTCCATTGTCTGGTTCCACCTTCCTCAGAGCATGACTGTTTCTTGCTGCCATTTAGGTGAATTCTGTGGCTGTGCATTTAGGGAGGCGATGACAGGTGATGCATGGTAATGACATCAATTACTGAAAGCTTTTCCTTAGAACATCCCACAGAAGTAAAAGCACAACTAATGATTGTATGAATGTGGCATGAGGGGCTTTCAGGAGCATGAATTGGTTTTGTATTAATACAGGAAGAGGGGAAAAATGCAATGGAGAATTGAAAGAAACACTGTTTCATTAAATGTTTTTATGTTAAGTTTTTCCTTTAACGTTATTCAAGATATGAATTTCATTTCATCAGTTGGAGAAGTAGTTTGAGAACCATTGGTGTAGGGGTGGATTGGTAGGAACCCCTACTGTGGTTGTTAAATATTTTACATTTCAGTATTTATATTTGTAATGGCAGTGTTGAATCCATCACCAAGATCCACTTTCTGGTGGGACTGGTGAAACAGTGAGGCCAGCCCTAGAAACATGAATATGACAGATTGATTATTGTTTGGTCAAGTGTTTGCTCTATGTCACGTACGCATCAGAAATTAAGAAGCTCTTTCACTTTGCTGTCTTGCATCTTGCCCAATATGAAAGAAGACCTTTTTCCACACTAATTTCACCAATGGTCATGTCTATTTACGCGTCATAACAATGTGCCAGAAAAGGTGCAGCATCAGCATTGAGACTGCTAAATAATATTTATGGGCTGCTGTGGTTGAGGGGGTAGAGAAGGTCAGCGGTTCGATACCACTCATCTACAGGCTGAAGGTCCTTTGGTCAAGATACTGAATCCCGAATTGCTGCCCATGGATGCAATGTATGACTGGCAGCAATCTGCACTGTAAAGCACTTTTAAAGATTGTCAAGCCTTGAAAAGCACTATACAAATACAGAACCATGTACAGAAAAAAAGGAAATTGGCATGTTTACCAGGCTGTCATGTTTTTATCACTGTCAATCAAAGCCAAAGCTTGGTCTACTGCAGAGTCGTTTGACCCAAGTGTGAATGGCGATTTCAGACAAAAGCCCGATGTTAGCGGGTGTTAGTGGGTCTTTTGACCGGGGAAAAAGGGGCTTATGTGAGGAGGCTTTAGCTACTCTCCATTAAAAGTAGTTGGTTACAGCACTCACACAAAGGGCTTAAACCACATCCTCAGTTTTACACATTGACAACACAGTCCAGACATACAGTATATTAGGTTTTGACCTTGTCTTGTTTATTCACTATACGAACATCACACTGCATTTTATAAAACAGAATGGAGGTTACATAAGGTTACGAGCCTACAAATCACTTGAAGATAACATTTCTTTCACAAAGAACGATCTTACTCTTTGCAATTTAAAATGATATTTGTGAAATTGAATGTCAGATAATAAAGCTTTTCTAGATCTAGAAGGAGAAGAGTCAGTGCAACATAAATAAAAGCTAAAGCACAGACAGACAGGAAGGGAGAATGCACAGAGAAAAAAGATAGCGGTGGAGTCACTGAGGATGTATTCTATCCTGTGTCTTTAATCCCTCTTCAGCTGGACCATCTGCAACCCTGTCAATGTAGCTGTAATTAAAGGTTACGACAGCCAAGGCCACCAGGCAGGGGGTCTGCCTGCCTCGACCCATGATGCACGTCAAACGCACCCCTTCACCCTCCACTGTACCTCTGCATTGGCCCTAATCTCATATGACATTAGCTGGGAAACAATGCATAAAAGGAGATTTCCTTAGGAAACTATGTGCCAACAATGCTCCAATCCAGTGAGACACTGAGGAACATGGCAAGTGGGAAAATTCGAGGTTATATTGTGACTTATTTATTGTTCTATTCTGGCAGATCATTTCAAGAAATAACCTTGACACACGTTAGCTTATAATCGATCAAGAGAAAATAGAAAATGTTTTATCAACAGTGATATTTTTCGGATTATTTCATTCCATTCCATCCTCCCTGGCAACATTTCTTAGACGTGCTCAATGAATCAGATTTAAAGATTTTTTTTTTTCCTTTCCTTTATAAATTTAACATTTTAGCAGTTTTTTTATTTATTGTATTTACTATATTTGTGCTGCCAGAAATTTGAGGATGGGGAAAATGAAAGGCTAACCAGCTTGGACTGTGTGTAGCAGCAAATCTGGGGGAAACCGGGGCGGCGAGATGTAATTGCAAGTGAAGATAGACTTTTGTGTCTCTCCTTGGGCAATGCATATAGGCCTCTGCTGGTCACCTCAGATAGATGCTGCTTAGATGCTGAGAAGGTCTGGAGGATGCTAGACTTCTATTTGATCTGACTTTGTGGTCCTGCATACATTACTATCACCTCACCACACACAAAAATCACTGCCACCCCCACCCTATACCACACACACACACACACACACACACACACACACACATGCTGTATGTAACATTTATTAGTTGGGCTCACACTAGCAGGGAAAAATGTTGCTCTCCTGCTGAGCTGCCACAACAGTGAAAACACTGTTTGCAATATTTCTCTCCATCTACTACATCTATCTTCCTCTTCCTGCAGCATGTGATCCCACTCTGTTAGAGTTTGTGTTGCTGAACGCTTCAGCCTCATTTATGTTAATGTATAATACAAGAATCACCTTTCAATATGCTGCAGCACAAACTACATGACAATTGAATCCATCACCTTATATTCATTGCAATTGAATCAACACCTTTCCGATAAATTCTCAGTAAAAAGCTCAATAGGGTGAGTGTCATAAAGGTTATATTTTCCTAATAGAGAAAAAGCTTCATTCACAGTGGGAATGGATCTGTTACGTAGATTTATTGTATTCTGTCTGTTTTTGCTCTTGTAGGTTCGATATTCATGGTTTTGTGAAGAACCTATAGAAAAGAAAGCGAACGTGAGCAGAGTGAATATTGTGAAAATAAATGATAAACAAATTGGAATAAAAGAAAAAAGTTTGAAAATGCGCTGCTGTTTGAAAAAGAAGCAACAAATGCAGGAGAGAAATGATATTGTTTGCTCTGCTGTGGGTGATGAATGGAGTTGTGCCAGATTCTCTTATTAGAGTGGCAACAAGTGTGGGTAATAGTACTCCACTTGGACCACATCCAGCTATACACACATCACACCTACACACACACTCGTGCACAGACGGAGAGACGGAGTGTCTGCCCTTGCAGGTGTTTGGCTTGCTAACAAGCATCCCCTCATTATTCTTTTAGAGGGCCGATTAACTACTGAGATCGTAACGATCATGATCACTAATCAGCCGATGAATTCCACAACATCATAATTCAGGAACTTGTAAGCCTCGTTTGTCTTGATGACGTTTTAATAATAAAACTTTAATTGATCATGTACTACCTGCTTTGGACGATAAAACTTGTTTATGTCTCGGGCTCACGTTAACACACATTCATTCTTTTCTAACTCAGTTTTATCCTGATAACTTCCTGAAAAGTTTAACAAAATGCATGTGGAGATAAAATTGAATGATTCTGTCGTTACTGTTGCCGCATGGACGACATTTTAGAGTTACTTAGTGTGACATAGATTTTACATTACAGGATAAAAATAAGACCATAACACTGCATTAGTGAATTGCAGGCTCCTGTCTTTACAGAAACCGTACCCTGGGATTTACCCTTGGCTTATTGCTATGAACTAAGTAGGCGAGAGGAAATCAATATCTGGTGACAGCTAGTCAATCTTAGACTCAATTCTGAAACTCCGGTCTGCTTTAAAGGACAGATCTTTCCCATACACATTCAATCTCACCAAGGAAGCAGCGTAGCTCAAGACGGAGAAAGCTCCATGTAAATTGAACCAAGTCGGAATAAATCGCCTGACAGCATCACTAAATAACTTTAAGTCCAGCTGTCCCAGACTGGAAATGGGTTTATGTTGACTTGTACTCAGAGCATTTACATGAGGGTGAGCCTGTGGTGTTTTTACATGCCTGGACTCCAAATGAATAGAAATCCTGACACATCGAAAAACTGGCTGAAGCTCCTAGGTCTTAAAAGAAGCCCCGCAGCATGTAGCGAGAGTGTTGTCACACAGGGAGAAAAAAAAAAGCAATTTCAGTCTTTCACGGTGCTTGGATAAATCAGATGATGCATTTCTGTGTGCATGCAGGAGTTGATTTATCAGGCAATATCAGTGGTATTGCAAAAAATCCCCTATTAAGCTTAGGTGTTTGTTATCCTTTGGTCTACTGCCTTGAAGAAGTCTTTGCCTCACTTTTAGATTCATATAAAATGTTTTACAGGTTAAATTTTTTTATTTTATAAAAATTAGTAAAATTATATGTATTATTTGCAAATAAGTGTATATGATCATAAAGGCATTACCCCACTTTTGGATTATATCAAAAATAGTCATGTGTGTCAGGCAGAAGAACCACTAAAACAATCATATTCTTTTCTGTGTACTTGTTGTATATGTTAAATGTTGGCAATAAAGTAGCAAACAACAATTTACTGTAGTGGAGTAATGGCTCCTAAGTAGAAAATATCTTTGTTATAAGCTTCTCTGTTCTTTGTTCTGTTTGCAGCTCCAGCTGTGCATGCATGTTGGTGCATGTGATTCCCTCGCTGTGAACCTGTTGGCGATCACCACAATTATAAAGTGAGATGGCAGATACCACTACCAAGCAACACCTTCCAGAATTTACTTCACCAGGTTCCTGCCAGGCTAAAAAAGGTAAGATCAGTCAGGGGTGGGCACCACTACATTTCCCAGAGGCACGACCAGCAATCATATGATAAGCAGGAATGAGTTGACGGACCTTTTGCATCACCTTGCTTGTCTAGTGGCTACCTCACTGAACGGCTGCAGCTTGCAGTGCATGTCCACATCATTTCAGAGGCTCCTCAGATGCCTAATAAGATCTCTATTTTTCTGCACTGAGTTTGCCTCCTAATGATGATAATAATCTTTCCTTCTGTCATTAAAGGGTGTGTATAACTCACCATTTCATTATATAAAAATTAAGAATTGAAAATGTATACTTTTTATAACAAATTTTTACTGTTTAGTCGTTTATTATTTTTGCAACCTGCTAAAAGGCATTTTAGATTTATTATAACCGTTAAATTTGCTCCACCGCGCATATAAAACATGAAATTTAACAACTTCTTTTCTCAACAGTTATTTACGATATATTTTTCTGGCATTTTGCTTTAGTTTTACACTGAAGAGTATTAATAGGACTCAACCATATTTGAAAAACTGTTTTATGATTTTATCCTAAACCAATAGACTAAAGGATTTATCCAGTAACTGGAATAATAAAGTCTTGGAAAAGGGTCTTTTGCTGTTGAATCCAGCGGATCCCTGTATTATTTTATTATTTCTTTAAACAGGAATAAGTCTAATTGCATTATTCTCCTAAGAATTTGATCATTTTCTTTGTGTGATTTGTGAAAGTTGCTGCCTTAGTTAATGGTTGGGTTGAAAAAATGACTCTTGACCGTCCGTGGCACAGGGTTGCTTCCATATTTTTGCACACAAAAAGCTGTATCTAACTTTGGCCAATGGGGTTTAAAATACATTATACATATTATATACTGTATCTGCAGGCAGTTAAGTATTTTCCCTGTAGGAAGTCTAGTTGAAAAATCAGTGACCTTGAGAGAACAGTCTTGAGAACATTCAGCTTCATTCCATGCGTCCTATGCTGTTTTGACAAGTACAGTCCAATCAGACATGTTGGTTCAGGCTCCGTTTTCTCGCTCTCTTGTGACTAGGAGGGGGGTCATAGGGTGTGTGTGTGTGTGTGTGTGTGTGTGTGTGTGTGTGTGTGTGTGTGTGTGTGTGAGGGAAAGATGTGTTTGGGAAACTGTGTATTATGGCTTATACCGTAGGTGACATTCATTTTCAGTTATGTGTGTGTTGGCGTGTTTTGGGGCACTCTGTGGTGCATCGCTGTGCCTGAATGAGTATCTGTGTGTTGAGGGCATCCATTCACAACCGATGATAGTGGCATGATGAGGGACAGCCGAGGGCCTTTGGACCCGAGGATACAAAGACCCCTGACACAACTGCCTTCAGGTGAGTGTGTCAGAAAGAGACACCAGCATTTATGCGTGTGTGTGTGGGGGGTCAGCAGACTGCAGCAGTAAATCGTACCAAAGGGAGACATTGGGCACCTTTTTTGTCAAGACTGACTGAAGAAAAAAAGAAAGAAAGAAAGAGAGCATAGTTTCAGATAAATGGAGAGAGAAAGAAGGAAAGGCTAGTTGAGCTGACAGATCACAGGAGCCTTGGAGCAGGGCCCAGTTGTCCTCTGTGTATGGTTGGCCTGGGGGTAGGTGATGTCAACCCCTGACAGGTAATTTGGTCTGAGCTGGGCTCCCTGGAGCCAACAACACACATGACCAACACACACACTCACCCACTCAAACCTGGTCCAAATCTACTTAGTTACTCTATATTTGGGTGTGCTCTTCAAAATGACATTAAGAGGAAACACATGCAATAGAGCCAAGTGTTGTGAAAACAGAGCCAGAGGTTGCAATTTATAAACAAAAATTAAAAGACACATCTCGATGGTTCATTTCAATCTTCTGCAGTTAAAGATGTAAATAATAATCTGCAATGGAAAAGTCTTGAGAATTCATCTTGTGGACACCAATAATGTCCAACAAAGTTTTATGGAGATCCATCCAATGGCTGTTGAGATAGTTCAGTCTAGACTGAGGTGGTAAACTGCCACTGACACAAAGTCAAACGTTCCAGTTTAAGCACCTTGGCAGAAAAAGTAAAAACAATTTAATAGTAAAAAAAAAAAAAAATCTATAATTTACATCTGAATGTTAAACTGAATTAGTTTTGACCACAGCTTCCTCTGTATCTAAAAGATTCCCAGGGTGAGGCTATAATTCAGCGCTACAGATATATGGTGAGGGAGGTCTTTGACAGAAACAGTGGACTTACTCTAGTGGAAATCTGTGTTGGGCAAGGTATGCAGTCTGTCTCTGCCTGTTGGCCAATTACTGTATCTCTCTCAGCACGGAGAACAGAGGTTCTCACCCTGTCTGCCCCAGCTGTCCCCACGGAGCCCCAGTGTGTTGTGGATATGAAGGCATGGTGAGGATATGTCATCCGACAGGCTGGCTCGGTCAGCTACTCATGCTTTGGCCGGAGCGCGTGCACACTGGCTTTTGGCCACCGAATCTAAATAAAGTGATTTTTTAAAGACTTTCATTAATCCTTTAGTGGTTGACTCTTTAAATGTTGTACTTTTACAACTCTTTTATTTCCTTGTTTGTGCTAAAAGAGCAGTAAAAAAATGGTTTAAGAGCTCATGACATGCAATAAAGACTTGTTGCCTTGACAAAACAGTACCTGCCTGAAATTAAAATTTTAAACTCTGTGAAACATTCCAGTTTTATAGGGTTTCTTGAAGCTATCCATAAATAATACTGCACTTATTTCCATGACAATGTTGTCAGTCTGTCTTCTGGCCAGTGTCTGGGGGTTTGTATTTAAAATTGCCCTCACAAAATTTATTGAAAATGTATTCTTTCCAAATGATACCCTTCAGTCTGCTCAGGAAAGAAGGGCATGATTTATTTTCTTTTTGCCATGTGTGTTGTTTTATTTAACAGAGCTGAAAGCTAGAATACTGTTCTTCATGAAGAAACTGAATTATGCCCTTCATACCAAATTGTTATTTTAAGCTATTAAACACAGGTGCACCATTTTATTTCTTTCATTTTGATAAAACCGTATGTTTTGGACGTATCGGTACAAGAGGAATGAGTGAAACTTTACCCTCCCCCGCTCTAAGAGCAGCTTCACACATCCATCTCACAGCAGACCCTGTACATCCCCTGGTGTGTTGTGGATGTGAGAACATGTCAACACACTGGTTGGCCCGGTCAGTGCTGCTCTGGCCTCACTGGACTCTCTAACTGCCTGGTTTATGTCTGTCTGTCTGTTGCTTGTATAAATTTGGCCCCAGCTTGACTAGCGCCTGTCTGTCTGCTGCCCAATTATTTTCCCCAAGCTAGGACCCCTGAACTCTCTTCTTCCAGGATGGACTTGATGATCCCATGTGTGCTGTAGTTGTGTCATTGAAGGTTGGCACAGTCAGTATTGCTTCAGTAAGGGATGGCACATCTGCCTGCTTGCGGCTGTTCGTAGTATTTGAATGAACAGACGCAGTGTCATGTGAAGTTGGGCCAATACCCAACTTTTTCTGCTGTGGGTCATCTTTGAATATTGAGAGACAAGTGCACACAGCTGTTTTGCACAATTGGGAAGAGGAAAACATAATTGCTGCAGTGTTCGTAATGTTTGCTAATTTCTTTGAACATTTTAATGATGCGGATTACCACAGGATTGAACTCATCCATGGTTTTAGGTTTCTATGGGTCCAGGTTGGCTTCGAGTGTGATGTGGCCCTTGTGAGCCATGATAAACTACTGCCATGGCATTTCTGTCTTAGCCTGTCTGTGTTATGGCTCCCAATTATCTTCCCCAGGCAGGGACCCCCGGAACCTCTGCGGAAGAGATATGGAGGAGTGGGCCTGGGGAGGGTCATGGTCTTTGCAAGATGTACGAGCAAGAGCAAAATAAAACAGGCACACATACACACACACTCATACGAACCAACACATGCAGCCCATCATCATTCGCATCCCTCAAATTCAGTATCTCTTCATCACCAGCCAGTGTTATGTTTGCCTGTGGAATGCCCACAGACAGTTGTAAGTCCAAACACACACACACACATGCAAATACATGCACAAACACAAGCATACTGCACAGGCATTTGCAAAATAATGAGTTCACTAGGGGTTCAAAGTAAAATCTCTGGGGACTGGAGGACGAGTTATGCAGGGGTGAAATAGTGAGCGTGTGTGTGTGCACTTGCATACATTTTTTGCACGTTAAGTGTATTGGTTACAGTAGTCTGAAAACAAGTGGTCACTGTTATTCATCACGTCTACTAAGAAGTTTTTTTTTTTAGCAAGCCTATATTGTATAAACACCAGCTCTTTGACAGCTCGGGTTTGCTGCTGTGACATAGCAGCCCCTTGAATCCTTCAAAACACAAAAGCTCGAGCTGAACTGAGCACTTACAAGTATCTGCTGTGTCAGTGAGCAAGGCAAGTTGTCAAGAATAAAGCCAAGAGAAACAAATCAGTAAACTGCCATATTTATCAAAAAAGGCTCAAAAACAATTCCTTATTCAGTACAGCACTAACACAGGACAGTTTAGTGAATACAGTATATCAACCTCTTGCTCACTTTGCAAACAGAGCCCTGAGCAACAGCATGGCGCTTCCAAACCAGAGGCAAGGCTAATAATAATCAGTCTGGAGGGCAAAAGGGCCCGTGATGGCATCATTTATGACTCAACTAAATGTGTAACATGGCCGAGCACGCCGCGGGTAGTTGTTTTCATGCAACACACAGAAACTGTTGATTTGAATATCGTCAGTATTCCTCAGAAATCTCACATCTACGCTATCTCTCTGCGCACAAGAGAAATTCAGGAATTTCAGTCTTACACAATGTTACTCAGTTTTAATGAGCATTGCTGATAAATAATATTAAATTAAATTAAATTAAACTACAATACAAGGAATATCCAGTTTTTCTCTCTCAGGCCTGAAAATGTATGCCCAATTACACATTTTTTATTAAGGATTACTGCTGTTTTTTATTACTTCTGAGGAATTGTGAGGTAC